TGCCGATTTCACTTATAACTAATTAATAAAGACAAAGGGCAAAGCACCTGGCGTGTATTTTTTATTTTGGCAGTATTCTTGTTCCATTTTTAGGGAGGAAAATTAATTTTCTGCTATCTATTTTCTGCTACTGTTTTAAATCAGAGGAGCAGCATATAAATAGCATATAAGCAYCCTTATAAAGCATCAGGTAATTAGTTTTTAAATGAGATATTCTGTTACCAATTTGGAACAGTTAGGATGATTTGTGTAGGGTTAGAAAGATCTTTATACRTGGATGTGCCCATTTGTACTGGGGTCTATAAATTACTGTGTGGAGTAGGACAGGATCAAAGAGCAAYGAGAGCTAACAAATGAAGCCCCCATTTGGCTGTGGAGGTTATTAATTAGATTTGCAGGTTATTTGATAGCTCTGAGAGGCATAATTGAAAACGGGCCCCAGCGTCTGGCAATGACTGTCACAACACAACCATAAAATGGTTACAGGAGTTTAGGGGTCACCCCCTGTGTCACTTTAATGTGCTGTGCCAGGCAGARAGCTCAGTCCTTTGTACCTTAGTCCAGATCAGAGTGGAGATCATGGATGGATGGTGTGTGTAAGGAGAGGGCTTGGGCCAGCCTTGAATCACCCCCACAGCACTCGGAGCTGCCACATCCCCCCGTGTGTGCGTGGGTTTTTRATGGACTGAAGGTGCAATGGGCTTTTGCTTTTTTCAGCCATGCTTTTGTAGTTTGTCACTGGTATTACTGTAGTTTTAAGGGAATTTTRAGGAGTTGTTTGTGGGCAGGAGGATCGCCTCTGTGTGACCTTTTTCACTCGAGCCAGATGGGTGTTGGCTGTGTAGGTTTTACAGCATCGATTTCCACCCCCCATTGGCAATATCCATTGCGATACTGGATGTGCAGTAAAACCCCCTATTCTTATTACACATTTTTTCTTCACAGATCAGTGCACCTTTCATGTCCCTGATTGTGTTAAGCCAAAAAATATGGGGTCCTATGAATGTWAGAGATGGAAAAAGGGTTGTTCAGTCAGCTGAGACCAAGCAAATGGCCCAGCCCTGGTTTTCTGTGGCTGCTTAGCCGTGTCTGCAGCTGCCATAAAACTCCTCTCAGCGTGTTCCTTTCCTGGCATGGGTTTAAACATCTCTAGGCAAGGGTGAGAGGAGTCTCCTCCAAAGGAAGGAGCTCATGAATAACTGTAGTTATTGTTCACCCCATATAAACAATTGCTTAAGTGGGTAGTTGTCCGTGTGTTTGAGAAGAGGAACTGGCTCCTTCCAKGTGCAGAACCTCTTTGGTGGTAAATAGGGAAAGGAACTTAGGACTGGCTTGCAGAATGTTTAGAATTCTTCCTGGGCAGTGCCCTGTGCGTGTTTGTGTTTGTTCACCCCCATATCTCAGTTAATGATGCGTGCAGTTTGGAATATATTGGTTCCTGTAAGGGCTCTGGCCTTGACCATGTTRATTAAAATTAAACCTCACATAAATGGTAACCAGATGACATGCTTATCTGCAAGTCAGAATTAAGAGCAAATTACATGGACCATCACTGAGATTGTTCTGCACTGTTACATTTGTACCCAGCTTGTAATTCCAAGTAGTTCTTTGGCTTMATTCTATGATAYGGTTTCTGGGTTAGGGCAGTGGTGTGAAGCCAAATTTCAGGAATTAGATGTTGTTTCTCGGAGAAATGAGGCATCATTTTACTGGCCAGGACACTTCTGAAGTAGCTAAATGTGGTAGAAGGCCTTGTTTCCCTTTGTCTGAATAACTGCTGCATTTTTRTGAACATTTACAGAAACATTTTAATGCTGGAAGAGCTGGCATTTCCAGCGGACCTGCCAAGGGAGGAATCCCTTCCTCTGAGGCAGCACAAATCAAATTAGCGAGGACTGAGTTCTTTCTTCTAATTGTGKGAGTTCTGTCAAATCTGTTTAATACTGAGATACAGCTGACCCACTTGTTTTTGGCATGTGTCAGTGACCAGAAAAAAAGCACAAGGTTCATCTATTGTTTCAGTTTTCAGCTTTGGTTTTGTTRAAAAGTTAACCAACCATTCATTCTTTTTTAAAATCTGAATTTTTTTTTCCGGTATATTTTATTGTGAGTAAAACATCCTACYGCAGTTTCCATCATAGTTGAATCTTAAAAGTGCCCTTAAAAACTTGTAAATTAGGGTATTTATAAATAAGAGAGGCAGTATTTTCTTTGCAAATTAGGTGTCTTAGATGCTACTGTGATGTTTTTAATGACAGAATGGCATTAAATCTGTGACCAATTTGCACATTAAATGCATGTGAGGCTTGTAAGGGGGTTGGATTGAGGAGGGAGCTGATCTGGGGATGTCAAGGTTGGAAAGATGCAGATCAAGGCTGTAGGACCAGAACAGAGTCTGAGCTATGAGGGCCCTGTGATTGTTCTGCTTTTCATTAGGCTGCAAAACTGTGGTGAATGTGGCTGTGCAAGTGGAAAATTGCTGTTACTGCTGGATTCTGGCTCTCATTTCACCTGGATTTTTAACGTGCTATCATTTCACTGGCATTAGGGTAGAGCCACAATGATTTGTCCTTGTGTCTTCTGTGCCGTTACTGTTGAGGAGTGGAGAGATAAATTTTTTTTAAATGTCTCTCCAAAATCATTGCACAGGAATTTCAAGTGAGTCGTTGGCAGAGCACATTTTAGCCGGTATCAGGGTGCTCCCTCTTGCCAGGAGGACTCCCATGTAAGCACAAAAGGCTAAAGGCAATGAGAGCCAGGGACTGAGTCTTTGGAGGAACCCAGAGGTTCTAAGAAAGTGGGTTTTAATATGGCTCTAACTGAAGGAGAGGAGAGGAAGAAATTAGTTGTGCACAGAACAAYCTTTGAATTTMCTCACAGCTGCAGGGTGGCTGCAGYGCTTGCCCCCACTCCTGTGTTTTCTTGTTGGGCTTTTTGCCAGCAGGAARTGGAAAATATTCATTGAAAGTATGAAATGATTGAGAGAATGTGTCTGAGTACATTTTACATTTTAATWTTTTAATGCTTATTTCAGCTGTTAAAACTAGGCTCTTTTCCTCCTGACTTGATTCCARCTGTTAAAATACCAGTTCACAACAGGCATTTCTGGTCTTGGTTCTTACTGGCATGAGTTAGAATTTTTGTACTGCTGAATTTCTTACTTTTAAATATAATTTCATGATGTACTCCTGACTTCCAGATGATTCCTGGATAATAATATTGTACACAGTCTGTCTCCTCTCCTCTGTAGCCTTTTAACTCGTCACTGGCCRGGGGCAAATGACCTGTTTTTCAAGTTTTGGCAGCCACTGGAATGATGCTAGTATCTGTGTAACTGGATCAATGCCTGGAGGAGCTGTTTGGAGCCCATAATTTGCTGACATGAAATAATTTTCCTTTCCCAATCATTACATGATTTAAAACCCCTCTAGCACAGCAATTTAAGGCAATTTTATTCTCGCAATATCTTATATAAGGAAAAGAAAACCCTCAGATGACATTGTTCTAAGATTATGGTGCATTTTCTGTTTAATTCTGTCAAATATGTTTGAGTACCACCGGGTTGTTTTTTTTTTTAATTTTTTTCTGAAAATATGTATTAATTTGTTCAAGGAGATGTAGGATTTTGTGTAACACTGCAGAGAATCAATCTGGCACAGCTGGTAAGTTTTTGCTGTGTATGTGGTAATAAATTGAGGCCAGTGTAGCTTTTGTTGTGTGTAGGTAATTTTTTTTTTTTTTTTTGCATTTTTTTTATGCTCCATACATACAATAGATCTAAATAAATACTTATTTCAGAGAGGCCCAACTTGGGCACCTTTGCCATGTATTGGGTTTTTCTGATGGATTGCACTCGGCTCCTCAAGACCTGTTCATTTAAATCAAGGTCAGTGGCAGTAATCTCTTGGTGCAGTGTCAATCTCAATTACAGTGGGGATAACATAACGGAATTGAACTATGATTTTGGGCAGATACATTTCAAATAACTTAACTTGACATTTGACCTAAATAGAAATGCATATTCATGATGAATGTTTTTATATCAAGTAGTGCAGTGGTATTGAATAGTAGAATGTCTGTACCCAAAATACTGGAAAACTGATGTTATTTTAAATATTTTACCGGTGGTCCATAGACATTTTAATTTATAACAATAACTTAATTCCATTCTGGAAATAATGTGGAATTGTCCCTTTTCACATACTGTGAAAAGACTCCCTAATAGTTTATTTGCAGTCAGGGTGGGAGAGAAATCAAATGTGATTCTGAGCACCTTGAGATTGTTGTTCAAGTGGATTTATTATTTTCAACATACTGCTCAGTCWCTGTAATCATGATCTCTGCAAGACACTGGGTATGGTACAGACTACCAGATTCTCCAATCAAGTAGAGAAATACTGTTTACAAATTGCAATGTAAGAAGGTGAAAWGTAGCCCAGTGTAAGTCTGGTGGGAGATGGTGCTTTAAAACAGTGTCACGATGCATTTGGTTGCTTTATAATGATTTTACACAGGTAAATATAAATGTGTTGTCCCACTGTCTGCAGACATCAGGTTCTCTGCTTTTAGAAACCCAAGGTGTATCTTGAAATGTGTGTCCTGAGCCAAGGGCTACACTTGGAGAACAAGAMCATCTGTAATTATCAGTGTGATATTGCAGAGCACATTGAATTTCACATTGTCACAGGTGCATTCTTTGTGTAAACAAAAAGGGGAAGAATTGCTTTGTAATTTTGGTTTTGATTTTTTTTTGTGTGTGTTTTTCTTTTTTCTTTAATTTTAAAAAATAATGCCTGGTTAGGTATTATCTTTGCTGAGTTTGATAAAAACTTTTTGCCACCTTTGTGCCCATCTTAAGGTTTCTTGTCTCCCCCTTCCCGGGGTATACAATTGCACGGTTACCCCTGCCTTTGGCCAGAGAGAGAGATCCACTGTACCAGGGGTGAATAACAGACACTGAACTGTAGGACTTCTTTACARATTTATGGTGCTTACTTGTGATGTGTCATTATGACCTCCCTCCTGCTTTTGTGTTTTTGTCAATAGGATCCGTTTTTACACTAAAAGTTCAAGTGAATGACATCATCAGCCATCAGTACCTGCGGCAAGCGGCGGTGGAGGTGTTTGTGAACTACACCATGACCAATTCTACCCTCACTGGAAACAATGGAGCAGTGTTGATAAAAGTCCCCTACAAGTTAGGYTTAAGTGTAACCATTGTCTCCTACAAGGATGGCTACCTGCTGACACCTTTGCCTTGGAAGACGGCGAGAATGCCAAGTACGTCAGCGTCTTACAGTCCTATTATTAAACTGTATCTGGCAGTGATTACATTTCTCCCCTAAGCTGTCTGGGTAGTTGCTGGCAGCTGAACACGACTCAGTTAAGTCAGTCAAGGGAGGTGGTGCCTGTCAGTGCAGATCTAAGGGTGAATGGTCTGTTAAACTTGTCAAAATTCTGATTACTCTGAAACAGAAAATGGCCCTTTTTAAATCTAAGTAGGTTATGTTGTGACACACAGTGAATTCCTAGTGTATTTTTTTTTTGCCTAGATTTAGCAAAGGGCTGTTAATGTGTTCTGACAAAAATCCTGTTGATCTGAGTGATGCCTGGAGTGCCAATGCTTTTTGTCCTCTATGACAGGTATAACCTGTTGTTACAGCTCCCTTCCAGCAGTGTTTCCTCACAGGTTTTCCTGTTTAACTRCTGCGTGCTCCTAAAAAGGCACAGGATTTTTTTTTACAACAGAAACTTTTAAGAATTGTAGACACTCGTTAATCCATAGAAGGTACAAAGCAGTAGCAAACATTCAACAGAGGTCTCTCTGCCTGAACACTAAAATTGCTGCTCTGGATAACAGGAGTGATTTATTCAGTCTTCATGTGCTCTCTGGTTTATTAACTGCTCTGTTCAATATTCCTTTTGGATTTGGAGACCTTAGAGGATTTTTTTTTGCTTGCACAGTGTAACAGATATTATCATTTYCCACAGTATACTCGTCCGTGACGCTCTCTTTATTCCCACAAAGTCAAGCTAATATATGGCTGTTTGAAGATACTGTCTTAATTACTGGAAAACTGTCTGGTAAGTTCTGTGTATGCAGGCTGTAATTAAACACTTTGTGATAGCCATCTGTACACACATGGAAAAAAAATTAGGCATAATCTCATTCTCAATTAATACCTATCTACTCAAAGCCAGATTTTCTGTTAATTACGTGGMTGTATGAGGGGCTGTGACAAGTGCTAGACTGGAAACACACAAATCACAGAGAAAATGGATGGAAACTGGTTGATATGCTATGTGGATTTCTGAAGAGTTATAAAAACACTGTTTGTCTGTTTTACTGTGGCTAAGATAAAATATTWCTCTTTTACAGATGCCAAATCTCAACCGAGCGTTCAGTTTCCTAAATCTTTAATAAAGCTTCCAACAAATCATATTGCAAAYGTTACAGCCTATCTGACAGTGCCAGAGCAATTTTTGAAAGTGGACAGCTTTCTCTATACAACAGGAATTATTCTAAATAAATCAGGTATGTGAATATGTTGGTCAAGAATTCTTATAAAGAGGATTATAATATTACAGTGCATGAGTGCAGATGTTTCCAGCAAACATAAGCTGAATTTAAGAGGGCCTGGACCTACTTGTATTTTATTGTAACACAAAGCTTTGTTTCATAGCAGTGAACTATAAACACACCAGGTGAGTAATCAGTGTTACTCTTTTTTTTTGGTCTGTGCAGTATGAGAACATAACATACCTTGCTGCACTGAAATACTCCTTCAGAATCTGTGTTTTACATGTATGTACACATGTTCAGGGTTTCCTGAGGCTGTGGAACTGGYTTAGTGAACACCTTCAAAATGCAATGGTGGCCACACTGTAATTAGGTGAAGCTAAAGAAATCAGTGAAACAGCAGTAGTTGCCTTCAGTTTAGGACCAAGTGGTCACTGTGTACAGAGCACAGTTACAGTAGTGTTTTCTGTGCATCTGTTTCACTGGACAAGCAGTGAGGGGTGTAATGAGTCTTAACTCTGCTCTTGTACCACTGGATTTTTAAATTTGTCATTCTATTAGATAGTTTTTTAATTTGCAGTAAATTAATTACTTAAAATTTTAATTTTAAGTGCAGTAATCTCTGGAAGGTTGTGCTGTGTGCAGTTCCATCTTTCTTTTGTTCTTTTCTTTCTATTCCCAGTGGATCTGAAGCCGTGAGGCTCTTAAATCCATTGCGGTGCATGAGGAGGGCTCTACATGGCTTATTTAAACTCATTATGCTCTATTTTTTAATTTTCATTCCATTAAAGGCATCACATATASACTGATATTTTGACACAGATATTTTTAAATCTTTCTTATCTATATTTCACKTCTTTAAATGGAAAGCAGAAGGGAAGAAGCATGAGAGAATAAGCAGTGTTTATCCTCTTTGAGTTTTGCCTTCAATCTGTCTGGCATGTGTTTTAAATTATTCATATACCCCTAAAGGAAAAGGTTTCCTTTTAGGGCAGGTGGAAGCTAATTGATATCTGATGTGCCAGGAGTTCTCTCACAACCAGCTTCTAACAGCCTGCATAGATTTAACATCATTCTGCTACTTACTAATTCTGTTTCAGCTTCCCTCACCATCCTGTCATACCGGGCGCTCTGGAGCATTGCAGACTGGTGAGAGGAAAACAAAGGAAAGGAACTTTCAGGCTGCTTTGTAAATGCAACCTTTCCTCTSAGTGCTTTGACAAGCCTCATGATTAACTATTCAATTAATGATAGTTAATCCTAATCCAAATTAGCAAATTAATCCTTACAGGAGAGGCTGCATATGCCTTCAGCTTGATTCAATGTTATGTACATTGTGATTAAACCAAAATTCTTGTATTATCTATAGTTTACATAATTCAGGTGTTTTGTAATCTCATTCTCTGAGGGGAAAAACCCTTTTTCCCCACCCCCAAGCAGGTTTTGCCTCATCATTAGTTCTACAGTCAGCATAAAATCTGGATATTGCAAATACAGCATTGGCATAGAAATGACTGTGTTTTATTTTAATCACAAGTTGTTAAAAGTCCAGARGAGAAGTAATGTTGATTTTTATTTCAAGCTGGTGACAGCTGACTGTTTAGCTGGATTGCAGTTAAGAACTTGCCTTTAGCAGCTTAATTCTTAATTTATTTGTTTTCAAGTAAACTGTGAATGGAGAATTACAAGATATTTCTCACCTTCAGGTTTCAAAAGCATGGAATTAACTCCTCTTGCTGCTGTATGTGTAAATGTCCTTCTGGCTGGGAAAGAACTGAACATAAATGGTCCCATCCAGATTACACTTCCTCTTCCCACGACTACTGTGAAATCAGGAGATGCTGTACCTGCCTGGACATTCGAYATGAAAATTGGTGAGTGGGTGAGGTTATTTGTTATTCTGCCTTCTGGCACCTGCCTGTAGTTTTGGGCACATGGCACTAGGTCATGGAACAGGGATGCCACAATTCTATGAGGTAATGGTCAACTTTTTTTAATGCTTGTTGAAAGATATTTTCCTGTTTTCATTAGTTCAAAAACCTTTGGTAAAATTCATTAGCACTTCTATTTTATTCCTATTAGCCTGCATTTTTAGTGCGATGGATTTTTATTTTCATGGGAGGCTGAGTATTCACAGAACATATATTTTAGGTGATGCTAAATTTCAAGTGTAGAAATTTTGTGAATTCCTTCTTAAAAGAAAGCAARCCAGAACTGAAAGTTTGGATGCTTTTTTCCTAAAGTGTAGCTCTAAAGATCCTTTGATACCAGAACTGGAAAAGATATTGCTTCAGTTAACAAAAACAATTCAGAAAGTGAAATGAAGGGGAAATAAACGTTATCCAAGGCAACAACACAGTTCTTCCAGTATGCATGAAAAGAGAGGCTGGGGATTGGTCATTCTAAACCTTTTGTCATCCCTTCAYGTCTAATTTCAGTCAAGAGTGTGTAATGGCCTCCGTGCACCTAACCCATTTAGCTGCCCTGTATTCCCTGGGGGTGTGTCCATGTCCTGATTGTCTCACACTGTACCTTACACTGACCATCACACCTCACCTGAAATGTGCAGSTGAGGGAGGAGCTCGTGTCTTGCTCCTTATTGAGGCAAAAAGCTTTAGTTCAGTTCTTGGAAGTACAGTTACCAGSTGTAACAAAGGGTTATTTACATATTCAGAAAAGAAACCGATCGGCTTAATGAAGAGCAACTGAAGAACATGGATTTGAACTAAGGACATGCTAATAAAATTTGGCTAGTCTGTCCTGTGGGAAAAGAGTAAATAGGAGAAGTTTTGGCATAGAAGATTAGGTCTGTCTGCACACCTAAAGGACTTTAGAGGGGTAAGYGGTGGGAAGAGATGGCATTTTTCATCAAAGAAAGGGTGTTAGTCTGAGGTGGTAAAACAGTATGCAGGTTTAAATTTCTTACTGCCTTTGCCACCTGCTGTGCTCATGCTGTGCTGAGCTGTTTTAACTCCCTAAACAAAGCTAAGCCAATAATGTTGTTTAAACAAGTTGAGAGAACTGGAGCAGCATGGGATCRGGTTAGAGCACAAACCAGAGTAAGGTGTTGGTTATGTGGGTGCTGAGGAGCACACTCAACATTCCTACACAGACATGTTGGCCTTGGGAGTGGAGCAGAAGCCAGGAGCATGGCATGCTGATCCAAAACACAATGAAACCAGCTCTTTTTTCCTCTCCAATGGGAGGTACTTTGACCAAAGTTCCATAATTTTTTTGTAATGGATGCTCACTGAGGTGTAGTGTTCACATGGAGCCTTCACTGCTGTTTGCTGAGGAGAGGGCAAGGAAGACTGTGAAAAAGAACAGAAATTTTTGGGACATAACTGAACTTGTACTTTTTCTCCCATTTCCTTGTCTCTTACAGTTAAAATTTGCAACTGTGTTCACTGTTCTGGATATTTATTCTTAAATCAGTTTCTTTTATTTTTACATGTGCAAAATTACTTTTTCCCAAGGGAACTGAGTAGGAGCAGGGCATGCTTTAGTCAAGGTTCTGCTGTCTGCAGCAAGCATTCCAGAGCATCCATAAGGAGCAGCAGGCTCCCACCTGAGCTCCTGCTGCACTCAGTAATGAGGCTCAGGCATCCAAGATGTTGCATGCARGATGTCCTCAGCAAGACACTGACACAATTTTAAACTCTGAAATCCCTGGTAATGTGTTGTGATGGCAATCAGAGCTCCCATGTCAGTATGAATGGTGGCAAGGGAGCAGCTCTGTGTGTGATGTGGTGTGGGCTGACCCATATGCACCAGGGAAAAGACAAACTGCTTTCACAGCTCTGCCTGTGCAGGGTTTCCTGGGGTCACTCCAAGTGYAGCAGCACTGAGACTGTTCCTGGAAAATGAGCTTTGGTAATTGTGCTCCCGCTGCAATAAATGCAGAATTTGTTGGTCTGTATTGAGTGTGGCTTCCTTCTTACTAAATAATCTGCTGCATTAGTGTTAGAAGTACTTTATGGTTTTTAATAGAATTAGAAAAATCAGAAAGCTTGCATTTCAAAACTAAATTGGGAGTTATATGCTTCTGCTTGAATGGCAATAAACCATAGAGAAAATGGGCTTACTCATGAATCACATTTTAATTTTTTTTGTCTTAATGCATACTACTTTCTATGGACTACATGGGGGGAAGATGTAATTTACTGAAAAGGACAGCAAACATTGTACAACTTATAGTTTTGTTCAGTCAAGAGAGAACTTATGGAGACCTAGAGGTTATTTTTGCCTTTTATACAATGTTTGCTGTTATTACTCCTTACTCTAGATGTGTTTCTCAGGTAACTGAAAAAATATTTCAGGGCTCTAGGGAGTTGGTGRTTCCCTTCACCTCTGCCAGCCATCACAAGCACCAAGAGAAGGCTGCATACTTTAMTGCTAAATGCTATTTTCTGTGTGTGTGCCTGGGCATGTGAGCATCTGGGCAGGAGTCCATCCTCATCTTTACCTCTTGGTTGGGAGATACTTACTTTTGCTTTGCTGAAAGAAGGGTCCGGGAAGAAAAGAGAATTGAAATTCATATAGGCTCCAGCTTACATGAGTTACACTCTTTTCATGCTTTGGTTATTGGTGTTTAAAAAGAGCTGGTAGCTCTCTGTACCTCCTAGTACCTGCAAGTTGAATATGTAAGGTTGTTTACATGAGGTTCTTTTTTGTCCTTAGCATTTCACAGATGGCCCACAATAAGTGTGTTTAAGTGCCTTAGTATAATTCTCCCCTTTCTGATGGATGATTTATTAGCTGTAGGAGCTGGCATGCCGTAATACCTGTCCTTTGAGTTGTTAAACAGATGGTGTGGAATCTGTGTCCTAACAATAGCCCTTCCTTGGGCTAACTGAGCTGTTACTGCCTTGGGGCAGGGAGGAGGAGAGARACATTCAAGACAAACATTGTTTATCCTATTGTAGCTTAATAAGATTAGAATGTTTTCCCACTAAGTTCTGCTAGCTAGTAGTAAACTTGTGTTCATATTCATCTGTTCAAGATTATATAACGGGCTTTTCAAATTATTACATTTTAAATGTAATTTGTTTGCATATCTGTGACATTCATTAATAGAAAATGAAACACATTAAGTTTACTTCTGGTAAGCAATGTTGATGCTTTGTTTCAAAGTAAACAGCTACAGATGGGTATTTGCAGTGAAATTGCCAGGAGAAAAAGTTTGCCCGTTTAGCTAAAGCTGTGCAATAAACAGTGTCTCGGTCAGAAACACCAGTTTTTCTTGTGACCTTGTGCATTTTTGGTTGTAGCCTAATTGCTAATGGTTTGAGATACAGAAGAATCCTGTGTGKCATGTGCAATGTTGTGTCCTTTTTWTCCCCAGGTGCTTGGGTAAACCGTGGGCTAGGAATGGTCAAGGAGGTGGATGGTCAGTTGGTGTGGACGTACACTGCTCAGCACCTGGGCTACTGGATAGCAGCTCCACTGCCTGGCACCAGAGGTATGGCAGCAGCTGGCCAAGCAATTGCTGAATGCCCCACGTGAGCCTGGCAGTCTGCTTTATTTAACAGCAGSAATGGAGAAGTGACACGCAACTTCACCTCCTGGATAATTTTTGAGTCCTTAAAGTGATTTTGTTGCATGTTTGATGCCTTCATATGAATTTACCAATCAGAGAGAAAAGCATATCTAATTCTAAAAACAGAACTCTGACAGAGTGCTAAGTAAAAAATGCAGATCACTTTTCTAGGCCAGTTTGGACAATTAATACAAATATAATTTGACTGGAATGAAGTAGATGTCATGGTAAGGCTTTAGTACTTGRGATGAACCTGTCATTATGCTGTAACCTGTTTGTATATTTTCTAGTTTGCTGAAATAGCAAGGTGAAAAGGGAAGGATGAACRTAATGCCATTGGAGCACAAAATCCCTGGAAAAGTACTGTTCAGTTTATTAGCTCTGCACATCRGGTGGAACCATTTGGTTTTGGGAACTAATGGTTGTCTGGTTTTGTTTGACAATCTAGAATCCATTATTAGTGCTGTTTCCAAGGACATCACAGCCTATCACACCGTGTTCCTTACGGCCATACTGGGAGGAACTGTTGTCATTATCATTGGATTTTTTGCTGTTCTTCTTTGTTACTGCAGGTAAGCTAAAAAAGTTCCAGTGAGCTCATTATGAGTGGAATTTGAGGTTGATAAAATATTGAGGTTAGGATTGGTTTCCTTAGCTAAACCATAATGTGTAGCTTAATGTTTTTGGCTTTTTTTTTTTAAGTTACAGTTGTTAGAAAACTTGATTTCAAGTTTGTGATGTCACATTACACTATAACTTCTTGACCAAAGTCTAACTTTCATATTTGGTAGTCAACAGTTCAGTATTTTCTAGTAAGCTCTGCAGTCACCTTGCATCTCTTTTGCATAGGGATAAATGTCATCGGACACAGAAGAAGGAAAAAAACACAACTAAGCTGGAGGTCATAAAAAAAGACCAGACAACATCGACAACTCACATAAATCACATCAATCCTGTCAAAGGGTCTTTAAAGTTGGAGGATAAGTCACAGTTATATACACCGAAGATTTCTTCATACAGCCCTCAAAGAAGGCTGTCCATWGGCACAGAAGATGGAAAATCACAAGACAATTTTAAAATCTACACAGAGGATGCTTCTTATCAGTCATCCTGTCAGACTGGTCAGGCAAGAAATTCAGCCCATTCAGTGGAAGCTAATGCTGCAGTGAGGCTTTTACAGCAGCCAAAGCACAGTAACAGTACTATTTCCCAGGCTTCTCGGGACATTCCAGACCAAAACAGGTACCTTTCACTGAAAGAGGAGATGTACGGGCTTTCCCATATCCCAGAACATCTAATGCATATTTACAATCAGCCTATTGCTATTCTTCAAACCTCAGACCTTTTCCACTCCCCAGAACAGCTACATCCTGGTAAATCAGCCACTTTGCCCAGGAARGGGCAGCTGGTGTACGGCCCCATGATGGAACCCATGAATTGTGACAGTTACATGCAAACACTCCCCAAAATGCCYGTGCATTCTCATCCCCAGCCTTCTGCCTGCAGGGATGAAAACAGTGCCCTGGATGGCGGAGAAGGCTTGCCTTCCCAAGCATCCAACTGGAGCCGGTACACCAACAGCTTACTGGAATCTGTCTCTGTTCCTGGCACATTGAACGAAGCMGTTGTGATGACTCCGTTTTCTTCCGAACTTCAAGGTATTTCAGAGCAGACACTGCTGGAACTCTCTAAAGGAAAGCCATCTCCCCACCCTCGAGCATGGTTTGTGTCCCTGGATGGAAAGCCAATCGCTCAAGTGAGGCATTCTTTCATAGATCTGAAAAAGGGGAAAAAAACTGAGAGTAAYGATACCAGTCTGGACTCTGGTGTGGACATGAATGAGCATCATCCTAGCAGGAAACTGGAGAGAGAGAAAACTTTCATTAAAAGTATGCCACATTCAAAGATTCTTTACTTGGAAGACTTGGATCTGAGTAGCAGTGAAAGTGGGACCACTGTTTGCACRCCAGAGGACCAGGCTGTGAGGCACATTATGGAAGGAGGGAATGGGTCAGTCATAGAACAGCATGATGAKGAAGGTTTAAGAAAAAAATCCCTACCAGGAAGTAATGAATCRGGTATCCCTTCTGCTAAAAAAAGGGATAGACCAACTCTCGTGAAAAGAGATAGCAAAACCAATATCTGGAAGAAAAGAGAGGAGAGGCCACTTATTCCTATAAATTAAAACACAATGTGCTTTGTGCTGTTGCTCTCCCTGCTAGTTATTGACCTCTTGGCTGCTTCTGTAATTCTGCAGTGYTGGGTTTACAAAAGAAATGTTGTTTTCTAGTATCAAGAAAAGTTTCAATTTTTTTTTTTTAAATGTACAGGTTGAGTTACTAAACTTCAGCTGAGCAATTGATATTCCATGTGAATTGAAACCAGGGAAATGCTACTATTAAACTTTTCCAGTTCCTAATGTTACTGGCAGTATGGGGAAGGCCCACATTTTAATTAGCCTGTCATTCTTGGATGCACCTTTGGGAACGCGCAGTGAGAAATGTAGGCACGTGTTTTAATTYTTTTGTACTTGTTGCTAATGCGATGGTAGCCTAGTTAAAGCCATCCCTCAGCCTTGTTCCTACTCAACGTGACCATCTGTACAGTATTTTATATGTGAACTTTTCTAGGTATCTGTTACTACTTCTTTGTATAATGTGAAACCTTTCATCCATTGGTCCCAACAACACCAGCAGAGGAGCTCTTCTGGATTTATCAGCGGAGCTCTATAGCATTACTGCCCTCCCTGTGTGCCCATCTGTGTGCAATTCCATACAGCAGTGGCAGAAGGGCCAAGGCTACAAGCTCTGTGGCTGCTGCAGTTCATGGTCCCCACTGTCTTAGGATGTTGCCCATCTGCTTTGTTTCAATCTGCTTTGTTACGGCCCGTGGATGTTGAAGATTGACATTGGCTATGACGTGTCCACATCCAGCAGAAAAGGACTGGTTCTGGTAGCATTTGAAACTGCAGCTGCTCCTGATCCCAGTGTCTTCTTTTGGCTTCATTGTCAGTGAAAATCCTCCCTTCTGCATGCTGTTGGGCCAGTTGTGCTCCACCATATAGCCTTGAATCTCTGCGTATTTGTGAGAGTTTGGCCCATGATAGAAAAGTGTGCAAGATTAGACAAATTATGCCTTGGAAATTGTTTCTTGAGCAGGAAAGCTYGGTGCCGTTGCTTTTTATTTTATGTTTAAAACAATGGGAGATCATTTGAGGTTTATGTGCCTACATTTTGCCAGCCTGAGCTGCTTTTGTCTAGATTTGCAGAGGAGTTACACAGGCTTTAAAAGTTGGGGGGGGAGCGTTATGAGCATGAGACAGCAGATCGCAAAATTTGGTCTATAATGCAATATAAATACTACTTATGACTCATCTTAGAGTTAAATTTACCAAAAGTCATGAATGCATGAATTGTAACTAAGATATGTATAGAGGAAGGAAAGGCCATCAGAATATTCTTTAATTTTAATGTTCATCTCGTCAAAGTGATCATTTCAACTTTGGCTAACAGAAAAATGGATGCATCTCTTAATGTGCTTCATATGGTATACAGAATGTATTTCTGTGGCTTTGAGGCTGTTTCCCTGGTGAAATAAGTTCCAGCATTTTAGCTTTGGCAGTTTGWTTATAAATCATCCTAAAAAGGCTTTATGATTATTTCCCTTAGAGCTCAGTTAAGGTTCTGTACCAAGACACAAACATACAATGTGTATAATTTGAATTGTTGGGTGATGGGTGCTTGGTTGTCTGCCCTGGAGTACACTCAAGAGTTGGAAAGTACCCTGTACAGCTGGGCCTCTGGGGATATTTACTCAGGAAATATTACTGTGAAATATGTCTGTTAYGTTGGGATTGTCAGTTGTCTGGTGCTGTTTCTAGAAGAATATGGAAGGTAACCAGGATACCAGGAACTAAATGCATCAGTCCAAATTCTGGTGAGCAGTTGCTTCATGAACGAGATATTCCTATTGAGTTTCACAAGTGTGAAAATGCAAATTAAGTTTGAGATAGGGGTGTAGGGTGGGTTGACCTTGGCTGGATGCCAGATGCTTAACATGCCACTTTATTACTCCCTTTTCCCAGCTGGACAGGGGAAAGAAAATAAGATGGAAAACTACTCCTGGACTGAGATAAGGCAGTGAGCAGGGGAAGGGCTTCTCTCYCTGAGCTGCAGCAGAAGCCACGGCTGATGAACTGACCCATTCCTGTCTCYCTGTGCCACTGGGGCTCAGGAAATAGAGCTGGGAAGGAGTGGGGCGGTGCGGGRAAGGTTTTTAACATTTATTTTACTTCTCATTATCATGCTCTGATTTTGTTAGTAATAAATCCAGTTAATATCCCCTAGCTGAGTCTGTTTTGTCGGTATTTGGTGAGTGATCTCTCCCAGCCCTTATCTCAATCCGTGAACCTTTMATTGTATTTTCTCTCCTCTGTCCACTTGTTCAGGGGAGTGGTAGAATGGCTTTGGTGGGTGCCTGGCATCCAGCCAAGGTCAAACCGCTACAGTGTGCAAATAAGCCTGTAATTAAATTGGCCTAAAGAATCTGGTTTAATTATGATTCATCTATTTTTGACAGGAAGATAGCTTGTCATATTAGCATGCTTTGGTTCTCTTTTTAGGTAACAGGAATTTTGTTGTCCAATACCAAATACATTTTCACAATACTTTCTTTTCAAATTTGCAGTTCTACTCTATTTTTGTGTATTACTTCCTATATATATTGATAATTTCATCCTTTGTTATATACATTAGTAGGAATCAATTTATATATGCACATTTCTTCTGAAAGCTGCTCTTGAGGTTCAATATTGCCCTGTTTGCAGAGTTGCATTGGTTCTGATGGCTCCTTTTTCAAAAAGAGATTATTATACATTCTGTTGAACATAATGGAAAATACTGACAAGCTAATGGTTTTGTGGAGTTCATATTAAATTCATATGACTTTACCTGAAACTTTGTTCACATACAGTAACATTTCATATTTTTAATGCATTTTTCATTGTATATACCAAAAAGACCTAATTTCTCAAACTTAACTGTGTCATTAAAAAATACAGACTACGGTAAATGGCTTTATTTACATGAGTTCAAAGGAACCAAGTTTGGCACTCCATCTATGCCAGGTATCTCATCTTCAAAGAAGAAGGATTAGAAATACAACTCCAAAATTATTATGATTTATACTCATACAGACTGTTTCAGAATATATTATCTCAGTCTTCACATTCCAGCTGTATGGTGGAATTCATGCACTGGGAAAACCTGTATTGCCTATTAGTGATTGGAATTCTTCTTGGTATTAGATCATTAAAAGAAGAAGTTTGACTATGCTGAACTCTAAAAATTTTAATTCCACAAAAAATTCTAGGTGATGTGTAACATGAGAAGACAGAATATCACAGTGAAATTTGTTTTGGTAGCCAAACTAATGGTTTTCTATATTTCTCTATATGATTTAAACATATGAATTTATAGAAGTCACTGAATTTATTCTTTAAGATTTTTTTTTCCTGTTGGCTCTTTGCAGCATTAATGTCTCAGTTCTTCACAAGGAACTTCTTGAGCTGCCAGCTTTTGCAAGAAAAGTCTTCATGTATGTGCATATAGTTTTAAGTGCAAGCTCATTGACAGTAATTATTAGATTGTTACCAAATGGTCGATATTATAGAATTAAAAAAATGGTGGGGAAATAATTTAAAAATCCCATTTGATTTAAGAGAAAAAAAAATCTTTATAGTACAATCAGAAAATAGAAGAACTCTGTTATGACAAACCTGAAAGTAAAAATGATGTGTTGATTAGGGACATTGTTTACCAACATAAARCTAGAGATGATGCACCAAAAGTAATCCAGAATGTAGGAATGTTTAGTTGTCGCCTTTGTTTTAACGCAGTAATTTGTACCAAAGAGGATGAAATGAATGGGTACCAGTATAAATTCTTTTTATTAGGTAAAAAGTGACACAATTTCACAACACTACTGATCTAACACTGTGCAAATGAAAAGGCAGTGCACTACATTTGTTGTCCAGTACTTTATATTAGGAAAATCTGGAGATAAATTARCCTGCTGAAGTGCCTTTCTCTTTCATCAGACTTACTTTATCAGTGGGACACCTGACTATCTGAAAAGCACATTATGATTTTTTTCTGTTAGCCAAAACCCCCTGAATTCATACAATTATGTAGCTTTTATAATATTTTAAAAGRCAGATCTAGTGGTTTTTATGTTGGAATACTGACTCCTGCATGTTGATGATGATGGTAATTGTTGTAAACCCTGGATTTTGTATTTTATGTTTGAAAAGAAATTAAAAAAAATTATCTTTAGCAATCTGAACAGTTGTAACTTTTAAAAATGCACATACGGGATCTGATTCTACTTCATATATCAAGTGCAAGCATCGTGGAGTCACTGGACTTACAGGTATGAAAMTGACTGGGATATTAACTTAAAAAATGAAATTAATATGTGTTTATATATAAACACTATTACAGTGATGAAAATCCTTTTTTTTGGCTGCTAACTTTGCTTGTCAGTAGCAGCAGAAATTGTATGGTGATAGGTATGTAATTCTTATTTTCTAGAACCAATTTTTATCTCAATTTGGAGCCTAACCTGCATTGTTTTTTAATTGCTTTTTAAATATCTTTTTTTAAAATTTTGTGGTATTCTGCAAAACACAGTGCTATGCCTAAGGAGTTAAAAATGAACATTCTTTTATAGTAGTTTTACTAATTTGTGCCACACTTCTAATAGTAGGCAGCYACATTTGCGTAAAAGAATATCTGAAAGGTAGTTTAAATTACTTGAATCTGAGCTTCATTTTCTTTTTAAAGGCAGTATTCATTGTGTTATGAAAAAAAAAGCTTCAGGTTTTTTTAAAGACTGACAGGGCAAAACTCTGTCATTACTTGTTGTGCTAGCACTCTCAGCCTGAAAACTATTTTACCAAATGAAATTYTTTCAGTCAGTTCTAGGACTTACTGAACATTCCTATATTCCCATTCCCCAAAACGTCCTGGTATTTTATTCCSCAGGTAACTGATGTAGTTCTTTTGAAGCACTTGTTGCACTTCAGTCCATGTTAGAACAGTACTATTTTTACATGTTACTGTGTAGAAAGGCAGTTTTTAGTGCTCATTAGAGCATGTTGTTCATACAAAGCCTGGCTCTGGATATTGCAAGGCAGGTGAACTCATGGCACTGACTGTGCTCACCACCTTGAATTATGGAGCCTTATATTCAATAGATGCTTCATGACCTTGGCAATCATTTTCAAAAACTCTCTAGTATGGATATTGTTTATGTAAAACACTCTTGATATTCGGCATCCTGGTTTTAAGTATTTCTACCTTTTTATATTTTGTCAGAGGTGTCTTTTCATCTCTGTATTTACTACAGTATCAGTGTATCTGTTGCTGAAAATGTAACTAAGATTTGTAAAATGTTACAGCTTATGCAATAWAATAAAAATTTGAAAAAGTTATCAATGCCTGAACTTTTATGTGAGCATGGTTGAAGCCATGTGTTGTTTAGGGACACCTCTCAACACTTTTTTTCTAAGTATCATTAAATGTATTTCTGTCATCACCATAATTCCCATGACAAAATAATGTTGTCCTCCTTCAGGTTAGTAATTCTAATACAGTCACATTCCCYGTTCTGTTTGTTGTGAAGAAAGACTTCTTGTAGTCTTCAGCTGGATGTTGGAAACAATCTCCTCGTTCGTGAAGCAACTCTCAAATGTGAAATACTGCTCTTTCTGAAAATCTAGACAACATGGCAGCAAAATTAACTTCTAAGACAAGTATGTGCATCTGTGATTGTAATCTAAATTCACTGATGATGCGAAAGAACCAGGTAGCTGTAGAACCACACGTTCATTTTCACAGCTCCTTCATTTTGCAGTTGCTGTGCTCTAGTTCAAGGCCAGGTCCCTTAGTGAATTTTTTCATGCTGACAGGATTCCCCAGCCTGTAATAGTGCCAGGTACACCTCTTACAGAAGGTGATTGGTACCCTGGGTAACCACACTTAGAATCTAATAAGGTCCAGTCAGGTTTAGTTGGGGA